CGCAGTGGATAATGCTTGCTGGTGAATTCTTGTCTGTGGCTGCTGGAGCATGCCCATGCTGCTTGAATCTGGTGCTTTATTTCGGTTCTGGGTGCGTCGTGGAAAGTAATGGTCTGGCCCAGGTAGGTGATGCTGCTTGTTCGTGGTAATATGACGATGTCCATTCCTGCTACGTTAGCTGTTCGGTCGCGGTGTCGAGGCTGATTGGTCATGAATTTGGCCTTGATCGGGTGCAAGTCCAGTCCGTGCTGTCTCGCTGCGGTGATGAGGTCGGAAAGCATTGCTCTTAGGATGGGCAGTGTTTGGCTCGTCAGCAAGATGTCATGTGCAACCGAAGGTTCGTGAGTGTCGCCGCGCCGGTGTGTCCCAGTTGGACGCCTTGGTGTTCCACACTGAGAAGATCAGCGGTGCTAAGACGTGTTAGAGTAGTGCATTGAGTATCAATGAGCTCAATGGATTCCCTTGCTTTGTGCCGCGTTGGAGGTCGAACACTTTACTAGTGGTGTCGGTGCGGACCACGGCTGCTTGGTCTTTGTACGTGCGTCGTAGAAGGTCTACGTGCCCAGGCGTGACGTCTTGGTGATGCAGAGCTGCCCACAGGCTGTCGTGTTCGACTGTGTCGAAAGCCTTTTTGAAATCTATGGCTGCAGCCCAGAGATTATGCTTCCATTCGGCTGCCCTTTCACTTAGAATATTGAAAATAAATAGGTGGTCGCGTGTGCCTCGTCCAGGGCGAAAGCCCGCCTGGTCGTCGGGTTGCTGTCGTCCTCAAGTTGGTTGTAGCCTGTTGTACAGTAGTCGGCTGAAAAGCTTATACAGCATCGGTATTGTGCAGATAGGGCGATAATTCTGTGGAAACGTCAAATCGCCCGACTTGTGGATTACAGTGATGACGGTCTTTCTCTAGCTGGCCGGCGTAGGGGCGTCTGCCTGTATGATGGTTTTGTACAACTGTAGTAAGGCACGCTGGAGCTCGGGACCTGATTTTTGAAGCATGTCAGCGCGAATTCTACTAGTGTCTGGTGTTTTGCCGCCCCCCTTGAGCTGCGCGATTGCTGCGGTGAGTTCCGTCGGCGTGAAAGGTGAAATCTCAGGTGGCTTGTGCGCTGCGGTTGGCGCGGGGTCAAGGCTGCGGGAAGAAGTATACAACTGAGCGTAAACATCAACAAATGTGTCTGCTATCCCCTGCCTCGTTGTCTGCTTGCTGCCGTCGGCCCCAACCATCTCTGTAATTAGAATCCTCCGCCGCCGTGTTTCGATGAAGCGGATTTTTTTCAGGCCCTTGCACTGCTCCAGTATGGCGTTGATTCGCTCCCTCCGGTCAGCGCGCTTCTGTCGTCGAATGCTTTGCCGATTATTTTTGCTGATTGCTCGTCGGGCATTGCTGTTTGCCGTAGGCGTGTTCTGTCGCTGCTTGACCAGGTCTTCGATGATGTCGTCGTGTTGCTGGTGCTTGGTGTCGTGGTTGGTGTTGGTCATGGCTGCTCGTGAGGACGCAGACGCGGCGGCAGCTCTGTGAGTTGTGGAGGTACACAAGCTCTTCTCGATGATGAGGTTGAGACCCTGCGGGTCTGTCGGAAGTGCCGCCGGCTGCAACTGGAGACCCAAATGTCGTCGGTACTCGTCGAAGTCTACGCGTGCCCAGTGTCCGATGCAAATGTCGGCCCGCGACATGGGATGTCCTGGGTGGCGTGTAGTTTTACCGTTCGGTGGCACCGGGAAGCGACTGCGAAGTACGACAGCTGCGTGGTCCGAGCTGAGATCTGCGATGCTCGTGGCCTCGGCGCTCGTGCATAGAGGAAGCGGGCTTCTATCTGCCGGCATGTCATCGCATTGTCGCGGGCTGCCCGCGGTCGTGGTGTGAAAGAATATGTCTGTGGGGGGGCTTGCGGAAGAACGGAATCACGATGGCGGGCCTCTCGGTCGTGGCCCCAATGTCGCAACCATTGCCCTCTGGAGTTCCCGTCGCCGTGCAGGGCAGTCTCTAGTACATGGGATTCGCTTCAAAGATACAGGACTTTAATACATGGCTAATTCATGAACAAGTTTATGCATGAACCCCTCGTTGTTTTTAATACTAGATCCCTTCATTTTTAATACATTATCCGCACGCGGAGCATGTATACAAAACGGCACTGTGCCCGTGGGGTCCCACACAACGAGACGAAGCGTCGTTGACGGTCGCTGCAGCACCCGTCTGTGCACCAGCCTGGGCACTAAGGTCTGCTGCGGGAATGGTCCGTGCGCTGCGGGCGCGGGCCTCCCTGGAGCACAGCACCGATGCCGTTGCACATGCTCTGTGCGCGCGCGTCCGCATACCTGCGAGAAGGCGCTCCTTTGCAAGCACGTTGGCTTCGGCACCGCCCGATTCCGAGGCGCTGCCTCCTCCTGGCCTCGTTCTGAGGCTGCGCCCCCCTTTTCTTCCCCCATCTCTGATTAATTCAAGCTTCGCGCGGCCCGCTTAGCTTCGACCGGAAGAGGTGCGCTTTCGACCCGCGGGTCAAAAAAAGTGCGTCCGTATACCCAGCGTGTGCAAAGTATGCTGAAAAACGAACTGTAATAGGATGCGCCCTCTTTTGACAGTCACTGTGGCCAGTCTTGCGCCGATTGCCTGAAACTGACATTACATGACGGCTCCAGCGCTTGTTTGAGAGAATTGCGACTTCATGGCAGCGCCTGTCGCTCCCAGACCCTGCGAAGGTATGTCCTTCCACTGTAGTCCAAAGCTCTTTTGGCTGTGTCCTCCAGGTCTCGTTGATTAGAATTGCATCCCAGCGGTAACTTTGTACGTCTCGTATAAGCTCCTCGATGCGGTCATCGGTTTCCAATGACCTCGCACTCTTATGGGTTATGGTGAGGTTGGTGGTGCCACTTGTGTCGATGGCTGGTGCTGGCGGTGCTGGGGGTGGTTCGCTAGGGATGTCAGGACGGGGTCGCTGCGCAAGAGAACTGGGGAACTCGCCGACGACGTTGGCGTATTCCGCTCGTCCGCCGCCGGAGCTGAGGCACTGCGGTCGAAATCGCAAGGGCGCAACAGGAAAGTCACTCCCTACTGCACTGTACTTTCCCCGTCCTCCTCCCTTCGTCGGTGAAGGTTGGAGCTCGATAGGTGGAGGTGGAGGTGGAAGGTAGGATGGAGGTCGGAATGTTGCGCTGTTGGGCGTTGGACGTCGACAGGTCGAAGTGGAGGTGGAATGTCGGATGTTGCAGACTGGAGATCGGCGAGTTGCGCTGGTGGACGCTGGCGGTCGATTGGTGGGGGTGGAGGTGCGGAGTCGGATGCTGGATGCTGGAGGTCAGAGTGTTGCGCTGGTGGACGCTGGAAGTCGACTGGCGGAGGTGCAGGTGGAAAGTCGGATGTTAGAAGTCTGGAGTCGGAGTGTTGTGTTGGTGGACGCTGGAGGTCATTAGGTCGAAGTGGAGTTGGAACGTCGGACGCTGGAGGCTGGACGTCGGAGTTTTGCGCTGGTGGACTCTGGTGGTCGTTTGGCGGAGGTGGAGGTGGACAGTCGAATGTCGGAGCGTGGAGGTCGGAGTACTGCGCTGGTGAAAATTGGAGGTCGATCAATGAGGGTGGAGGTGGAAAGTCGGATGCCGGAGGCTGGAAGCCGGAGTGCTGGGCTGGTGGAGGCGGCACGTCGATAGTTGGAGGTGGAGGTGGAACGTCGGACGCTGGAGGCTGGACGTCGGAGTTTTGCGCTGGTGGACGCTGGAAGTCGATGCGTGGAGATGGAAAGCCAGATGCTGGAAGTCTGGAGTCAGAATGCTGTGCTGGTGGGCGCTGGAGGTCAATGGGTCGAGGTGGTGGAGAGTCGGACGCTGGAGGCCGGAGGTCAGAGTGTTGCGCTGGTGGACGCTGGAGGTCGATAGGTGGAGGTAGATCTGGTGTTGGTGCTGGTGCTGGTCGCTGTTGGTGAATGCCGTCGTGCTGGTCGGCGCTAAGATCGCGGAGCCGTAGATGGTCCAGTGCTTGGAGTCGTCGTTCGCTGTCATGGCCACACTGTGGTCGGAGAGGTACGTCTTCATGCAAGTTCGCCTTTTCGGATTCCTGTGTTAGGGATCCGAATGTGTCCTGAAAGGCAGTCGGAACATAATTCAAATTATCGAAGGTTCCCGTCAAAAGCACGGTGGGTCACGGGTGAAACGTGTTTAATGAATCTGGTGCCAAACGGACCGCCAGGTCCTGATGTGCCCTCCCGTGGGTCCAAATAAGTATCAAGCTGGGGTCGGCGGTCGTTGCCGGTGCCGTCATATGGAATCGCGCTTCTTCCGCCACCGCTCTATGAACGCCAACACTTCACGATCAGCCGTTTCCGAAATTGAAGGGGCCCCAGGACGCACAAATAAATACACACAAATAAAAAGATCCCTCATGTTTTCGCATACTTCCTGGGCTTCTGTCTTCTCCCCTACTTCCTACATTTTCCAATATTTTCTGGGGAGTCGACGAATAATTGTGTCTGTGTTTTTTCCCCTCCTGAGAAACGTCAGATCGATCACCCGATTCTGGGCCGCTGGCGGCGGTCAAGGCTGCGCGCCGGCGGCAGGGTCGCCGCTGGCCACCACGACGCAGACCCATGTTTGGAACAATCGCGTGCCTCCAAGAGCTGCTGTTCGGCGAGAGTTGGGCCGGAACATGGCCACGAGAACGTAGAACCAGAGCACGGCCCTCACCCTTGAGCAGGGACCGACCGTCCCGGCGTTCCTCTAGGCCTACCACGACATGGTCTTAGAGCCCCCAAAAATTTTAACAAAAAATGTTCGCCCGATGTGCTAAAACACGGCAGACTCAGCCAGAAAAGTTCTAAGAACATTTCGTGCAGACTCCAAGAGGTTCTAAGAACATTCGTTGGTGGGGCCATAGGCGAGCCGGGACGCTTCGCCACTGCTCGACAACCTTGGCACCCTCGCCGGCCACTCGAATCTTACGTTTCCCTGACTGGCCCTCCTCGCTCCTGCTCGGCCCGGCCGACCTTCCCCCTTGCAGCCCTGGCGCCGTCCTTCGTCGGGCGCCGCCGGCTTCTCGGGCGCCGCCGGCTTCTCCTGGCGGAGGCACGGTGGCAAGGGGGCCGAGCGGGGGAGGAAGGCGGAGCAAGCATCCCTCGGACCAGAGCGCAGCACCGCCACGCCACGTGCACGCTTCGTGGGACAGGCGCTGTGGACGGCGCCTGGGCCCACACCGAGTGCCTGGCAGGCGACGGCGGGTGGAAGACCCCGGCCGCCCCCTTGCCGTCGCTCGGACGTCCATTTTTTCGGTTTCGTGCGTGTCTTTTTTGCTCGATGGTCCGGGATGGTCCTCGATGGTTCTCGCCGAGAAAAAATGCACACGTCCGAGCGATGCCAAGCCCCCTGGCAGGCACGGCCTCCTTCCAGCACCTCCCGAGAGCGCCTCAGTGCGCGGGCGCGGGCGCAGGCGGAGTGGAGGCCCTGAGAGAGGAGCGAGAAGCGAGAAGCGAGGGAGGGGGACCCGAGCATCCAACGCCCTGAGAAAACCAAGGCTGAAGCCGTTCGCCGCTTTCGGCCTCGACCAGGCCCGTTCGGGCTCATGGGGCAGTCGAACAAAAACTACTCGGGACGAACCGCCAGCCCCGGAGAAGGGGTCGGGGCTCAGGGGCACCCCGAGCTGAGGAAACACGACAGATCAGGGCGTCGGACGTCGGAAGAGGAGGGCCATGCCTGTGGTCAAGGCGCCAGGGTGTGCTGGGCCACCGAGGGGGAAAAAGGGTCCTGCGCGAATCGGGTCCTGCACCTGTCGCTCCTCCCCTCGGAGGCGTGACCACATGCAGGGCCCTCGTCCTCCTCCCCTGGTAGCGGCAGAGCTGATCAACAGGTCAGGAGGCGAACACTCCAGTCCACTGCGCCTGACGCCGAGGTTCCATGCAGCAGCGCCTCAAGGACTCAGGACCCTCCGACCCGCTACGAAATTTCGACTGTGCACCGGCAGCTTGGGCAGCTTCCGCCAGCCCCGCGAGGTGCAGAGCCAGCCTCTCTCTGACCGCACGTGGCGGCCCTCCCCCGCCTCATGCGGGGCGGGGATCTGTCAGCCGCTTCGCGCCTCTCTGCAGCACCGCTCGCGCAGGTGGCGAACACCGATCGGGCGGCAGAGACCGCATGCGCACGCGGCAGAAGCGCAACCGAACCTCTTCCCAGAGGTCAACCGGGTGCGTGGGGTGCTGGCCCAACTGCACGCCCACGGCTCCCCTCCTGGCTCCTACGCTGGCCCAGAGAGGCCATCGGAACCCCGGGGGCCATCCCAAGAAAACGCTCCGTGGCACAAGCCTTGCGCATGCTGCTCTTGCGAACGACCTGCAGGCAGTGCTTCATCGGCGGCGAGGCAGAGGCAGTCCGCTCCAGCGTGTGGCTATTGGGACGACCGAGAGGCTAATTGGCCGGCGTGCAGTAGGGAGAAAGAGGACGAGGGCGGCCGCGCGGGAACGACCTGCAAACATCCACTGCGGCGCCATGTGGATCTGGCTCGCAGGATTCGCCGAGCTGCAGAACTCGTCGTCGCGGCGCGGGCGCGCCACGGCGAGGGCGCACGAGGGCGAGGGCGAGTCGCCGCCCCGCTGCGCCGCCAGGGGCGCCGCCGCAGCGATGCAGTCCTCGCCTTTGCATGCAAGGCCGTCGCGGCGAAGCCTCTGAAGGGGCCCTGCCGCTCTCGTACCCCGCGAGCGCGGTCAGAGCTCAATGTATGGTGGCGTCCCTTGGCTGCCACCGCCTCGCCTCCCACTGCTGTCTGTGACGCCCTGTCCTGCCATCGAAACAGGCCCGTCGCAGTCCCCTTCCAACCGTGTCCTCGCCTGGGTCGCCGATCAGCTTGACGCCGAGAGGCACGACAACATCATTCCTGCATCGGGGCCGGTCTCGTTGAGCTCGTTGGCGCACCCGTGGGCCAGGGGGCCCGACGTGCCGACGCTGACGAAAAAGGCTATACGGCCAGACCTGGGACAGAAGAGAACCTCTTTCAGGAACACGAGACCCTCCGCTGGCCAGAAGGAGGAGCACGCGAGGCCACCCTCCCCCCCAGCATGCACGAGAGCAGCCAACGAACACGAAGGACGTGCCCTGGCTCAGCGACGGCCTCGCCGGAGGAGGAGGAGGAGGAGGAGGAGGAGGAGGAGGAGGAGGAGGAGGAGGAGGAGGAGGAGGGGGAGGAGGAGGAGGAAGAGGAGGAGGAGGAGGAGGAGGAGGAGGGAGGAGGAGGAGGAGGAGGAGGAGGAGGGGAGGGGGAGAAGGAGGAGGAGGAGGAGGAGGAGGAGGAGGAGAGGAGGAGGAGGAGGAGGAGGAGGAGGAGGAGGAGGAGGAGGAGGAGGAGGAGGAGGAGGAGGAGGAGCTGGAGGAGGAGGAGGAGGGGGAGGAGGAGGAGGAGGAGGAGGAGGAGGAGGAGGAGGAGGAGGAGGAGGAGGAGGAGGAGGAGGAGGAGGAGGAGGAGGAGGAGGAGGAGGAGGAGGAGGAGGAGGAGGAGGAGGAGGAGGAGGAGGAGGAGCAGGGGAGCGCGGGCGAGGAGGGGGACGAGGGCGGCCCAGGAGGGAGGTTACCAGCCTCGAACCTATCCCTGTCCCTAAGATCGACATGCCAAAAAGCGATGGCAATCTCAGGGATGCGCCCTCAAAGCATAAGGGAAACCCCAAGATTGGCATCGTGGTGCGGCGATGCCGAACACAGGGATAGGGATATGTTCCAGGCCGGCAACCGCAGGCCGTCGCGTCGCATGCTGCTGCTCCTGGCTGAGCACGGGGTCTGCGACCTCAGGCGGCGCCGCGAGCACATCGGCGGGCTCGGCCTTGGGCGCCGGTGGCGAATCCACCACCTCGCTCTCGACTGCGAGAGACCCCTCCGCAGCTTGGCCATCTGCTCGAGCAGCCGCTTCTGGTGGACGCGTGCTGGTGGAGTTCGTCGCATTCCCCGTGTGGCGTCCCAGGCTGCATCGTGGGCCGTCTGTGCCTCGTGGCCCTGGAGGTGCACCTGTTCCAGCTTTCGTGAACAGGCTGGGTATCCGTCTTGGCGGGCACGCCCTCGTCCTCCTCCAAGCCGTCCAACAATATCGGCGAAGCATCGAAGCCGAACAAGGACGGGGCCACACGCTGGGGCTCCGTGACCTTAGCGGCCCCGCTGGCCGTGGTCTTGTACTACTACTCATCGGAGGCTTTCCTTTGAAGTCCCCGCAGGGAGAAGACTGGGGCATATGGCTGGCATGTCCTCGGATCGGAAGCACATTTTCCGTCACGGGCTGAACATCCCCCAAGAACATATATTGAGCTGAGCCAAAGTGGCTACGGGTGGGGGGGGAGAGAAGAACGAGGAGAATGGGGCATATGAGGAGGAACTGGATCAGGATGAACAAGGGGGAACGCAAGAAGGAGGCGGGATAATGGATGAGGGGGAAGTGGCGGAGGGGGACTCTCTTTTGACGAATCTCCACCGTCGGGGGTCCCGTGCTTGCGCACTCAATGAATCTACGGTAGGTTCGTGCTTCGTCGGCTCGCGCACAAATTTTTGGCACCGCGTCGATCGTTGTTTTGACTACCGTAAGCCGCCTGCCCCTGCGCCATCTTGCCGCAGGACAAGCGGCCCGCGGACCTTCCCCGTGCTATCTGGTAGACGGTAGCCATCGTCGTCTGGTGGCCTCTGTTCGTCTTGGTGGACATCGATGTCGGTTGGGTAATTCGTCGCCGGATGGCGCAGCGCTCCTGGCATGGTGATCCTGGCGTCGCGCTGATGGTAACAATTTAATGGTGGCCGCGAGCGTGTCGACTCATAGCTGACTGGCACTGACAGGTGGCACACGGGGTGATGGTCTGGATTGCTATATGCTGGACAATCCGCGAGCTCGTGCCCGACACCACCAACACGACCCTGGGAAGTAATGCAAATTTCGCGCGCGGTCCGTCCCCACGCGCTCCTCAACTGGGAGGTGTTTGGGCGGTCTCGTCGCATCCCTGTGATTCTTCCTGCTCCGGGATGCGTTCCGGCCGCCGCGCCTCGCCGAAAGCGTCACGCGGGTGCCCAGAACGCCCCGAACGGCCGCCGGACGGCCGAATCATGGCCAAAAAACCACCATGGTTCTGGTTCTGCGGGGCCTGTAAAGGCTGGAGGGCACCACTGAGGCGCCAAAGCCCGAGGCCACCTCTGGGCCGAACCCAGAGGGCCTACGAGGGCCGTCCCCGAACAGAGCAAAGCACCAGGAGGCAAACGAAAAACCCGAGGCAGGGTGCGGCTGCGAGGGTGGTGAACCAGCTGTGCCTCGGCCCCGCCTCCGCGCGCCCCCACCTCTTGCGGGGGTGGCTTCGAGCAGGGGCGGCTCTCCCCCACTCTGGCGGGGAGAGGCGCTCAGGCCCCCGCGTCTCTGCGTGACCGCGCGGCCCCGAGCAACAAAACGCTGGGGACGTTTGCGAGCAGGCACTTTGCGAGCAGTGGCACGCGCTCTGTGACTAGAGGCCTCCCAGACATGAAGTCCGAGTAATTAGATGGGGTCGGAGGACCCGGGCGCCCCTCCGAAGCGGAGCCTGTTCTCATCCCTGGTGCGAAGTGGGGGCACTGTGACGCGACAGGCAGGCAGCACACACCAAGAGAAGTAGCCTCGTGGTCTGCCCGCGCATGCGCTGGCAAAATGTTCGATGCGTGGGCCCCCGGGGGTCTGGACAAAATCCCTACAGCCGGCTTTGTTTTGTTGACGGTCCCGGGGCCCTGCGAAAGGCCCCTGGAAGCCGAAAACGGCTAAAACCTGTCCGCTCCAGATTTTCTGGAGCCTCAGATCCCGGGGCTCCATCTCGCTCGATCACCTCCTTAGGAGTTCCACCAAAGGTCCTCGACCCCTCTCTCAATTCTGCACTGCACTCCCAGACCCCCGACGTCATGACTTTTTCCTTTACGTCGACCCCCGGAGGTCTCGACCTATTCCCCGGGGCCGGCTTCTTATTCCGAGTCGCTCTTGGACGGCCCCGAGGCCTGGCGAGGGCCCCCATGAGGCCGAACATGGCGAAACGCCTCCCGCAATGATTTTGTCGTTGCTCGAGGGGGTCTGGGCTGAGTGGGCCACACGGATATCGGCGGTGGACAAACCTCCCTTTAGTAAACCTCCCCTTAATGAAAGCGGCCTGGGACCGAAACCGACGGACCTGGACCCGCAAAAATGACGGCCGCGACGCCCTCTTGTGAACCGAAAACGGCCAATTCCTTAATCGACGTGTCAGGGTAGGAGGTCTGTCCACCCCTGGGGATACTTCTGGGGGGCCCCCGGGGGGGGCCGCCACGGGCAGCCCGAGGGCGTCCTCACCTGGAGCCCCTGCGCCGGCGTCGCCGCCGCTTCGGGGCGGCCACGAACCTCCTACAGGTGGATTTTTGTGAAGGGGCCCCAGGACACACACAAATAAATATACACAAGTAAGAATATATTCCCATATTTTCTGTGTTTTTGTCTTCCCCCCCACTTCCCGTATTCTTTTTTTTATATTTTCCAGGGGATCGACGATTAATTGTGTCTGTGTGGTTTTTTCCCTCCTGATTTTGGAAGAAAAATGCAACAGAGTGACACGTATTCAGACATGGTCAAACACTTCGCCGGCCCAACGGGCCCGAGGCGTGCCAAGATCTCCGGTAACTACTCAACAATATATTTCTAGTTCGCGCGCGGGGCGGCCCCTGGGGGCCCCCGGATGAAAAGTACCCCGGCCGATCCCCGGCCGGGTCCCGGGCGATCCCCAGGGGGGAGGCTATTTCTCGCCACCCCTCACGAGGATCGTGGCCTCCGAGGGGCCGGCTGCAATCGACTACACCCCTCCCGCCCCAAGGGGCCCCCCAGAGCCCCCTAAGAGGCCCCAGGGGAGCCCAGGACGCCGCCAAGGAGCCCCAAGACGCTCCCACGAAGCCCCCAAGAGGCCCCCAAGACGGCCCCAAGAGGCCCCAAATAGCGCTCCAGGGCCGGCGGAATGAGCGAAGCGATTAAATAAAAGGAAGCCCGTCCCCATACGACTTTTTGGAGATTCCTCCTGTAGAGGGGCATGCCCGACTTGATCGTCGCAGTCAATACCCAGAGCAGCCTGTCCTTGTAGCTCTCGCGAGTGGGCAACTTCGGCAGCGGTTCTTTGCTTCTTAAGCCGCTCCGTTCGTCGCTGTGTCTCTTGTAGCCTCGGAGACTCGCCAGACACGGGGGCAGGCACATCCGAGCCAGCAGAGAGATCTGTGGTGTGCGCCCTCCGCGATCACGATTACACGAGCGGCTGTGCTCTGACGCAGGCGAGCGGCAACTCACCGCGTACATGTACGTGGCAGGCTCTGGAAACCCAAACCCCCGACGCCATGATCTTTTCATAACTTCGACCTCCAACGGTCTCGACCCTGTCCCCGGGACCGGCTTCTCATCCCAACTCGCCGCTTGACGGTCCCGAGGCCCAGGAGCGGCCCCAAGAGGCGCCGAAAGTGGTTACAGACCTTCGGCCATGTCTTTTTTTGTCCATGACTCGAGGGGGCCTGGAAGCCCTGGATGTAAAAACGCTGGCGCCTCCCTTTTACTTCCGCCGCCTCCCGCCGACTCACCGCCGCCGGCGGAGCCTCCCGCCGCCGCACCTCCGCCGCCTCCCGGCGGAGGTGGCGGCGTGCGCAGTACACCGCGGCCTCCGACGCCGAGACCCTCTCACAGCGTGCTGGAGGCTCGGACCCCATCCCTGGGATCACCCTCTCCTTCTCCTCTCTCCTCCTCTTTCCTCCTCCTCTTTCCTCCTCCTCCTCCTCCTCCTCCTCCTCCTCCTCCTCCTCCTCCTCCTCCTCCTCCTCATCCTCCTCTCTCCTCCTCCTCCGAGGGAGGGAGGAGGAGTGGGAGGGACGAGGAGGAGGAGGCGGAGGAGGGACGAGGAGGAGGAGGAGGAGGCGGAGCTGGAGGAGGGACGAGGAGGAGGAGGAGGAGGAGGAGGAGGAGGAGGAGGGAGGAGGAGGGGGAGGAGGGACGAGGAGGAGGACGAGGAGGAGGAGGAGGAGGAGGAGGAGGGAGGAGGAGGAGGGAGGGAGGAGGGACGAGGAGGAGGAGGAGGAGGAGGAGGAGGAGGAGGAGGAGGAGGAGGAGGAGGGACGAGGAGGAGGGACGAGGAGGAGGGACGAAGAGGAGGAGGAGGAGGAGGAGGAGGAGGAGGAGGAGGAGGAGGAGGAGGAGGAGGAGGGAGCCGTCTCGTGGTGGCCACGGGGCCCGGGCAGGGCCTCCACAGGCGCCGAGGGCCGAGGCCTCTCACGGCCGGGGAGAGAGCGAGGCCCCTGCTGGAGCGCGCACCGCGGCGCCACGGCGGCCTCTGCCCCAGCAGAGCCGGGCGCGGCCGCAGGAAACCCTCGCAAGAATAGGGGGCAAACAAACCTACCTCGCTTTTGACCACCCTAGCTTCCAAGAGATGCCAAGCGATGCCAAGCTATGGCCTGTACTGGTCAGGCCGCTCGACGAAGAGGCGCGTGGCATGAATTGGTTTTGCCGGGAAACGAAAGCGAGGTAGGTCATTCACGCTCTGAAAGAAACCCAACCCTGAGAACCCGTGCGCGAGGTGCACCTGAGGGGGAAGCTGGAGCACCCTGAACGCAGCAGCTCCTCCAACTGCTGCGGGAGGCCACCGCGCAGTGCGAAGAGCGACGAAGCCCAGGATGCCCTGACGAAAAGCATATGGTTCCTTGATGCGCGCCCCCACTCTGTGAGACGACGCGAGGAGGTGTGTCGGGGATGGACAGGCCCCCCTTTGGTAAAACGTGGCTTAGCGAAAACGACCCGAGGCCCAAACCTGGCGGGCGCGAGCCTGGAAAAAATGACGGCCGCGGCGCGGGCGAGGACCGAAAACGGACAATTCACTCATCGACGTGTCAGCGTTGGGGGTTCTGTCCAACCCCGAGTGTGTAGGTGTGTGTGTGTGTGTGTGTGTGTGTGTGCCGCTGGAGCGCTTCTGCTGCGACTCGCCGCATACAACGGCCGCTGCCAGGGGTGCTCCCCCGCTCGAGTGGAGAGCGTCCCCTCCTCGAGTTATCTTGCTCCCATCGTCCTGACGGACCAGATCCCAGAAATAATGTCGAGCAACCAGGAAAGTATCGCAACAATGTCGAACGAGTATCGCCTCCCAGAGCCCGACACGTCCGTCAAAAAACCCTGCACTTGTCGATACTCTCTTGGTGCTCGAAAGTTTTTCTGGTGATTCAGGCTCAAGTAGGTTGGAACATCATAATGTTCGAAGCACGTCCGTCAAAATTCCCTGCACTTTTCGATACTCTCTTGGTGCTCGAAAGTTTTTCTGGTGATTCGGGCTCAAGTAGGTTGGAACATCATAATGCTCGAAGCACGTCCGTCAAAAAACCCTGCACTTGTCGATACTCTCTTGGTGCTCGAAAGTTTTTCTGGTGATTCAGGCTCAAGTAGGTTGGAACATCATAATGTTCGAAGCACGTCCGTCAAAATTCCCTGCACTTTTCGATACTCTCTTGGTGCTCGAAAGTTTTTCTGGTGATTCGGGCTCAAGTAGGTTGGAACATCATAATGCTCGAAGCACGTCCGTCAAAAAACCCTGCACTTGTCGATACTCTCTTGGTGCTCGAAAGTTTTTCTGGTGATTCGGGCTCAAGTAGGTTGGAACATCATAATGCTCGAAGCACGTCCGTCAAAATTCCCTGCACTTTTCGTTACTCTCTTGGTGCTCGAAAGTTTTTCTGGTGATTCGGGCTCAAGGAGGTTGGAACATCAGAATGCTCGAGGGGAATTCCCCCCCCCCCCCCCCGGGGAAAAGCGTCACGCTTCTCTCCAGCGCCGCGAGGGGCGGGGCCTGGGCGGTGCGGCCCGGCCGCTGGCCGCCGCGGCGGCCCATCTCCGAGGCGGGCACCCGTCGCGCAAGGAGAGGCCTTCGGACGGAGCGCGGGCAGGTGCACAGGCCAACCTCGCCCACAGCAGCGCACCCTGACCTTCCAGAGTGCTGAGCACTGGCCCTCCAGACGAATACAGACCTATCAGGAATGCTCAAACATCCCAGCCAGTAACCCCAGGAAGCATTTAAGAACCCCCCCGGCGATATCGTAGCACCGCATTTTTTATTCGACATTCCGAAGGGCCGGAATAACCGAACGATAGCTGTAGCACCCGGACACGATGATGATGATGATGATGATGATGATGATGATGATGATGATGATGATGATGATGATGATGATGATGATGATGATGTTGATGATGATGATGATGATGATGATGATGATGATGATGATGATGATGATGATGCGGATATGGATGATGGTGCGGAATGGTTATCGATTTGCCGGAGGGGGGGGGTTCTTAAATGCTTCCTGGGGTTTAACAACATCCAGAAGGCCCCCGTGCTACTTCTCAGCCCACCCGGCAGGTCAGGACATCGCCAACGCGACAGGACACGGGCCGCACCGCCCCCCCGCCTGGCGACCGCCCCACGGACCTCGCCCGCGGTGCCGCACCGCACCGCCACGAGACCCGACGCCGCGAGACAATGGAAACGTCCTATATAGAGGCCTCCTAGATGGGGTCCGAGTAAATGGAGTCGGAGGATCTCACCGCATCGCCGATGCATCGACGATGCATCGCTGATGCATCGGCGATGCATCGGCCATGCACTGGCGACGTCAGCGATGCATCGGCGACGTTGGCGCGGAGAAAATCGAGCCCCACATCGAGCCGCATCGCCGATGCATCGCCGATGCGGCGCGATCCTCCGACCCCATCTACTCCGACCCCATTTAGAAGGCCTAGACTATAACAAGCTACGGCCGAAGCCCCCGACCCCACGTTTCCAGACTCCCTCGAGCAGTGAAACAATCATGACGCGAAGCTTCTCGCCACTTTCGGCCTCCGGCGGCCCTATGCCGGACCCCAGGACTGTCAAAACACGACTCAGGATGAAAAACCGGTCCCGGGGAATAGGTCGAAACCTCTGGGGGCCGACGCCATGCAAACATCATGACGTCGGGGGTCTGTGAAGGGGCCCTGGGACACACAAATGAATACACAAGAGTAACAGGCCTCCCCATATTTTCCCAAATTTTCGGGGCTTTGCCCCGACTTCCCATATTTTCCTATATTTTCCTGGGGGTCGACGATGAATTGTGTCTGTGTGTTTCTGTCCCTCCTGAGTCTGGAGGGCCCGGACCCCCCAGCTTCCTGCGACACTCCTCGGGCAGCATCGGCCCGTGCAGGCCCCGCGGGGCCCGGAGCCCGGCAGACACCGCCCGGCTCGAGACAACACCGACGCTTACAGGCTGCTTCAACCGTGCTCGAAGACCACATCCCAGAGATAATTCCGCGCACCCGGAAAAGTGTCGAAAGAGCGTCGAAAGAGTGTCCCCCGAGGCCCGACACGTGAGAACCGCCGAACCTCGGCACCTGTTTGGTGCTCGAAATTCTTTCTGGTGGTCAAAGCTAAAATCGGTCGGAACATCATAAACCGAGGCGCCAGGATCTCAGGGCGCGCCGTCACGGGCCCACCCCCCCGCCACGGTGGTCGCCCACCAGGCGGGGCGCGGCCTGGCCGCCCAGAGCCACAGCGGCGGGCGCCAGGGGGGGCGAGCTGACTGCCTGCCAGAGCACCCCAACCCAACCCGAAGACCCGAATTTCGGGTTGGGGGGGACACGGGCTTCCTATGCGTTTTTGCCCATGTTCCCTGACCCCCCCACACTGGAAATGAAGGGGGCGAGTCGGGGCCTTCGGGTTGGGGTGGGGTGGTTTGGTGTAGGGAAACGAAACATGACAGCAACATACAAACTCGGAGGTCCGCGCGGATTCCTCGGATCAGCGCGGGACCCCCCCTGGCGGCGCCTCCGGACCCCCCTCCCTGGCGCGCTCCGCGCGCCAGGGAGGGGGGTCCAGCGCCGATGCGAGAAATCCGCGCGGACCTCCGAGTTTTTGTGTTTATGTGTGTGCTTGTCTCCCTAATAATGGAGGATGACGATTAATAAATGATCGGGGGTCGTGTTCACGCGGCGGCGCCCGGAATGACGATTAGAACCGGCCGCGGGCTGGAAAACTATGTTTTAAATCGTTCTCCTCCAGTCAGATCATTAGGCAGAAATAGCAGGAAACTAATTATTTGTTTAATCGTTCCCTCCCACTCTTTTTACTAATCGTCATCCCGCATGTTGGTGGGCGGTGACGAGCAGAACACACGCCGAGCACGAGCCGCTGTGCCGAAGCGGGCGCCGAGGCCAGGGCCGGGCGGCCGCGCCGACCGGCGCCGACCGGCGGCTCGATCTCGCGGGGGGCAGCCGCTCGGCCCGCGGCGCGCCGCCTGCATCGCGTCCTTGACGTCCTGGGGCAGCTGGGTCTTGCTCGTGATGCGCGGGGGCGGGGCCGGGGGCCGCGGCGGCGGTTGGCGGCGCGCAGAGGGGGTCAGGGGGAGGGGAAGGCTTCTTAGAAGCACCCCTGCTTCCTAGAAGGTGCGGGCCTTCTCTGTAGATGTAAGGCCGGCGCCTTCTAAGAAGCAGCCTCCTTCTAAGAAGCCTTCCCCCCTCCCCCTACCCCCCTCTGCGCGCCGCCAAGGCGGGGCCGGGCCGCGGCGGGGCGGGGCCCGGCCCGTCCGCCGGAGAGCAGCCTGCAGTGAAAGGGGCCTGGGGCCAGGCTGGGAGGGGACGCACTGGCCTGTGGGCCCACGCAGACCCGGGCCAGTCCGGCCCTGCAAGATCCTGCCGGGGCCTGCAGGATCACATGCGCCGTGGAACTTTCGCCGGGGTCGATGCAGCCCTGGCTCTGCGGGATCCTGCAAGGCCCGGCGCTCTGGCGGACCCCTGATTGCATGATGGACCCCCGTCTCGGGCTCCCGACCAGGCCGAGCGGGCGCAGACCCGCGAGAGCTGCGGCCGCGGCACTTCCTCTTGAGAACCGGCGCAAAGAGGGCAATTTTCGAATCGGCTTGGCAAGGTGGGGAGCAGACGGGCTGCCCCGGCTTCGTGTTCTGCGTCAGACTCTGCTCACATGTTTGCGGTGTGGTGGCGCAAGCGTTCTGATCGCCTGGCCTGTGGTGTCAGGTGTACCTTAAGTGCGTGTCCCTGCTTATCTCCATTGCTGGGCGAACTAATCGAGCTATTCTTGGTCTCTTTGAGGTCAGGCAGCTCCTCATCAGAATTGGTCACCATATCATCCTCCGAATGAGGCCCGCCCCTGGAGCCGTCCGTGCGCCTGGGCACCTGGGGGCCCCAGCGGCGGCGGTGTCGTCGGACGGGGTCGGGCGGGCGTGTCAGGCGTGCGAGTGGGGGGAGAGGGCATTCCAGGAATGCTCAAACGCACTTTGGGGGTCCCCAGACGGTGCGGTGAGTGACCCTGCGGTGACCGCCAAATCCCGAAGGACCTCACCACACGGTCCTTCACCGCACCGTTTTGGGACCTCAGAGGCCCCAAGACATCCTCGGAGAACGACCTGAGTCCCAAAACAGCGCGGTCTCCCCGAATCTCCACTGACTCACCACACGGCGTGGTCACCACACCGTTAGGCCCCCGAGGATCCATTAACCTCCGAATAGGGCACGCCCCGAAAGCAGTCTGTGCGCCTGGGCACTCTGGCGCGGCCCGGCGGCGGCGGCGTCGTCGTCTGGCGAGGTCGGGCGAGCGGACACCGACGGCGGGCCGGGCGGGCGGGTCGGGAGAGACGGCATTCACGAGAGTCGTTCCAGCGCGCTGGCCGAGGTTTCCCCGGGCGGGGGGGGGGGGAGGGCGAGGACCTCCGAGGCCCCAATAGACCGTGCGGTGACGGGCCGCGCGGTGAGGTTTCTTGGGATCTCGAGGTCGCCGCGCGGTCCGCCACCACAAGCACGGGCCACGGGGCCGTTGGCTGAGGGGGGCCTGTCCAGCATGAGTCAGGCAGCCAACCGGCGCCCCCCCCCCGGGGATGCCCAGGCGCCGCAGCGAGCTGTTCTGGGTGATGGCGTCGGCGAACTTCCGCACCGTCTCGCAGGCCAGGTCGTTGCGCACCTCCGGCGGCGGGGCACGGCGGGGAGGGCGGGTCGGGGCTGCTCCCGCGGCAGTCCCCGAGGCTGGGCTCCGAGAGGCCGGGAGGCCCCCCCGCGGAGGGCCAGGAGGCCCCCGGCGTGAGGCGGTTCCAGGGCGCGCGCCGTCGGGTCAGCCACCGCCTCGGATCTGGAACCACACGAGCACCTCGCAGGAGGAGGCTCCCGCCCTCGGCGGGCAGGCGCCTCCTCACCCAGACCCCCGACGCCATGATTTTGGTCACGACGTCGGCCCCCAGAGGTCTCGACCTCTTCCCTGGGACCGGTTTTTCACCTCGAGTCGTGCTTTTGACGGCCCCGAGGCCCAGTAAGGGCCCCCAGAGGCCGAAAGCTGTGAAAAACCTTCCGTCGTGATTGCCTCATTGCTCGAAGGGGCCTGGACAGAACGCAGGAGCTCCTCTCAGAAGCCGCCCTCCCTGGAGCTCTTGCAGGCCCCCTGGGGGCCGCACCGAGACGAGCAACGGAGAGGGGCGGCTCCGAGAGGGGCCCAGGCGGGCCCCGGGAAGGCCCCCAGGCGGCCCCAGGCGCCCGCTCCACGGCCCCCGAGGCGTCCCCAAGAGGTCCTCCAGGGCCTCCGGGAGGGCCGCAGAGACGCCTCCGGGGGCTCCAGGATGGTCCAAGAGCTTGCCGTCGCTCGGACGTCCATTTCCCGTGCATTTTTCGGCTTCGCGCGTGTTCTTTTGCTCGATGGTCCAGGATGGTCCTCGATGGTCCTCGCCGAGAAAAAACGCACACGTCCGAGCGATGCCAAGAGAGGGCCCGACGAGGGGCCCAGGAGGGCCTCAGGACGACCCCAGGAGCGCTGCGGGAGGCCCAGCTCCGGCGATGCCCTCGCGGCGCTGCCCGAGCGCGCCGCTGAAGAGAGCACCGCCGATGCGCAAGAGCACAGCCGATGCGCCGGCGCGCTCCTCGTCGAGGCAGCCTGCGCGCAGCGTGCGGGCGCCGGCCGCCGCGGTGGGCTCTCCGCGGGGGGGGAGCGCCAGTGGACGGGAGGCCTCTCGCCCGAGGCCTTACCGCGCCCAGCCTGGCCGTCGCTCGGACGTCCATTCCCTGCGCTTTTTTCGGTTTCGTGCGTGGTTTTTTCGCCAAGTGACCAAGGATGCTCCTCGATGGCCATCGCCGAGGGAGGAATGCACACGCCCGAGCGATGCCAGGCAACCGTGCGGAGCGAAGCGAAGCGAAGCGAACGCCAGAGTCGTGCGCGCTCGGCTGAGGAGCCCGCCCGTGCCCATCGGTGGCGAGCGAACGGCACACCCCCACATCCGTACGGCAGCTTCGTGTCGTGCCGACCCCAGCGTTGGTTTTTGACACCGCAGGGATCGTCCAACCTTGAACGATCGGCCGCTGCCGCAACGTCCGATCGTTCAACATCGATCGATTCTGGGTCGCCGGCGGCGTTCAACCTTGAACGCCCGCGCTGGGGTCGCCGCTGGTCGACACGACGCAAACCATCCGCAGGGGGGGGGGGCCGAGGGGGCAGGGCTGGCTGTGGGCAGGGGTGCGGGCTGCCGGAGCCCGGAGGAGGCTCCCGCTCGAGCGGGGGGCGACCCCTCTCCGACAGCGCGCAGTCCTAGCCGCCTCCGTCCTCCAAGGGTATGTCTGTGTATGTGTGTGTGTGTGTGTGGATGGGTGCATGCATGCATGCATGATGGTATGTATGTATGCACGTACGTACGTACGTATGGATGTATGGATGTATGTCTGTCTGTCTGTCTGTCTGTCTGTCTGTCTGTCTGTCTGTCTGTCTGTCTGTCTGTCTGTCTGTCTGTCTGTCTTTCAGTGTGCGTCTGTCTACTGTCTGTCTGTCTGTCTGTCTGTCTGTCTGTCTGTCTGTCTGTCTGTCTGTCTGTCTGTCTGTCTGTCTGTCTGTCTCTCTGTCTGTCTTCATATCTGTCTGTCGTTGTCTGTCTGTCTGTAAGCATGTATGTTTGTTTGTACGCATGTGTGTATGCATGTATGTGTATGTAGATATGTACGTAGATGTATTTGTATGTGTGTGCGTTACGTGTGTACGTGCGTACGTATATATGCACTATGTATATATATATATATGCATGTCTGCATAAAGGTATGCATGCATTCATATATGCATGTATGTATGCATGCATGTATACACGCGTGTGTATGTATGCATGCATGCATGTACGCATGCAAGTTGTTTTGCACGCGTGCATGCATGAACGTATGTACGCACGTAAGTCTGCGTGTATGCATGTCTGAATACATGCAAGTATGAATGCATGTATGTATGTATTCATGCATACACGCATGCGTGCATGATTGTATGCATATATGTATGCATGAATGTATGCATGTATGAATGCATGTGTGTATGCATGTATGTGTGCATGCATGTATGCATGCATGTGCGTTTACATGCATGGATGCATGAATGTATGTACGCACGTACTTGTGTCTGCTTGTACGTATGCATGCATGCATGCATGCACGTGTGTATATATGTGTGCATGCAAGCATTCATGCATGCATGCATGCATGCATGCATGGATGGATGGATGGATGGATGGATGGATGGATGGGTGTATAGATGGATGGATGGACGGATGGATAGATGGACGGATGGATGGATGGATGGATGGATGGATGGATGCATGCATGCATGCATGCATGTATGTATGCATGTGTGCGTGGTGTTCGCTCGACAATCGGGGCATGGCGTGGAGGCCTCGGCACGGCGCGCGGCGCGGGGCGGCGGCTCGCGGCAGCCACGCGCGCACCGGGCGGCTCCGGGTCGTGAAGCTGCTCGGGCTAAGTCGGGCGCGCCCCTCTACAGGAGGAGTACTTAAAAACAGCAAGAAAACTATCTGGGCACGATGTTGCTAATATTCTTGACTATTTTCCAATACTTTTTGATCTGTCCTCCGAAGCCCGCCTGTAGGATGACATGCTCGACCTACTGCTCGGGGGGGCGGGGGGGCCCGGGACGAAGACCCGGGGCTCGCTGGAAGAGACGGCCTGGGGACGAAGAGTGCAGACCCCCGACGTCACGATTCTCTCATGACGTCGACCCCCAGAGGTCTCGAAGCATTCCCCCTGACCGGTGCTCCATCCAGAGTCGCTTCCTGAAGGCCCCGAGGCCCGGGAACGGCCCCCAGTGGCCGAAAGCAGCAGAAGCAACTCCCCGGCGTGATTTCTCCACCGCGCAAGTTTTTTCACCAGCCGCGGCCCCGGGACGCCGAACCCGCTGGGGGGCGGGGCGGGCCAGCGGAGGAAAGCACGGGCGGCTCGCCCCGGAGCGGGGCTCTGGCTCGACGGCGCTACGGTTGAGCAGGGATCGACCGTCCCGGCATTCCTATAAGCCAACCACGACATGTTCTTAGAACCCCAAAATTGTCTAAGAACTAAAACAATGTGCTTATAACATTCACCCGACGTGTTAAAGCAAGACCGTCCCAGCCAGAAGTGCTCTGAGAACATGCCGTGCAGACCACGAAAGGCTCTTAGAGCACTCTTCGGCAGGCCTGTGGGCGAGCTGGGACGCTTCGCCACTGCTTGATCTGGAGCGCGCACGGCGCCGCGTGTGGGCACGTCCGGCAGCTCTGCGCGGGCGGAGGGCGGCTCCTCGTCCGAGCGGTGCTCTCGAGCTCCTCCTCCTCCTCCTCCTCCTCCTCCTCCTCCTCCTCCTCCTCCTCCTCGTCCCCCTTTCGCTCCTCCTCCTCCTCCTCCTCTTTCTTCCTCCTCCTCCTCCTCCTCCTCCTCCTCCTCCTGCTCCTTTCTTCCTCCTCCTCCTCCTCCTCCTCCTCCTCCTCCTCGGGGCACCGGGGTCGAAGTGCGAGCTCCTGCAGCCCTGGCCTGCTGGCGCTGCGACCGGACGCGTGCCCGTGCGCCTCGGCCAGTTGCCTGCCCCCTGCCTCCTGGCGCCAGCTACGCATCCAGCGAGCTGTGCGGGCTGCACGGGGGCGGAGGGCGGCTCGGACTGGAAGCTCCTGCGCCCTGGCATGCTGGCGCTGCGACCGGACGCGTGCCTGTGCGCCGCGGCCAGCTGCTTGCCCCCTGCTCCCTGGCGCCAGCTTCAGCTCGGGCATGTCCCCCTACGGGCGGACCCTGGAGGAGAACTAAGACATAGTCAAGAGGCACTCCAACATGAGCCAAGGCAGTGGAAGCCATCGTCCCCAGACAGTGTTTGACTATTTCTGAACGCTCCTCCTGTAGGAAAACGTGAACCATAGTCAAGAGGCGCTCCAACATAAGCCAAACCAGCTGAAACATCGTCCCCCAGACAACGCTTCACTATTTCTGAGTGCTCCTCCTGCAGCAAAGAAAAACGTGCCCGACGTAGCACCAGCTAGGCAGAGGCTTCCAGGGCCGAGGGCGGTCCCTCTTCAGAAGCCGGGGGCGCCCGCCTTTGCACGGTAGGGCCCACGGGCCGCTCGTCCTTCAAGGGAGGGGGGGGACTCCCCCCCCCCCCCGCAGCAGCAGGACTGCCCACGCAGACAGCCCCAACTCAACCCGAAGGCCAGAAGTTCGTCGGGTTTGGGGGGAGGGCGGGCCTCATATACATATATATATATATATATATATATATATATATAATATATATATATATATGTATAAGTATATATATATATATATATATATGTATGGATAGATGTATGCGTGTGTATGTGTTTTCAATGGCTCCTGACCCCCTTCCCCACACTGAAAATAGAGGGCAAATCGGGGCCTTCGGGTTGGGTTGGGGCGGTGTGGCGGGCGGTGACAAGAGGAAGGAAGTCCTCCCGATGCCATGGGAGCGCCAAGCAAGGAACGAAGGGCCCTTTCTGGCCACGGCGAGCCTCGGCTACGAACAGGCGCCCCGACCTATAGATCGGCCGGACCTCTCCTGAACCCGAAGTGGTCCTTCTTTCAGCGTCTTGGCTGTACCCTCTTCTTTTGCCTCCCCAGAAACGGGGGCATGGTAACCCCGATCTCCGACTTTGCAGGATCGTCGACTTGACGGAATTGTTGGTCCCAGCTCGGGGATATACCATGGGGGAGCGTTCATCCGCGATAATGGTGAGTCCGAGGATCCCCCGGAGAGTGCAAGTGAACCCGGGACTCCTTCCTCTTATGATCGGCAAGCGTTTGCTGGGGAGAACTCGGGGATCTGGGGCCAGAGGTCGCCTGCGACCCCACCCCCTGTCGGGGTGGAACTTCACTCCGCTGAGCACCATCCAGAGCGTCTGCAGGACAGTGTTGTGCATCAGCGACTCTGCCATCGCGAGTCCGCCAGGATCCTTGATGGAGTTATCGTCGATGTAGAGCTCCCTCAGGGAGGTGTTCGCCTTCTGCGCGACAGCATGTGAGGTGGAGGCGGGGAGAGGGAGGGAAGGGAGGAACAAGCAGCTGCATATGAAACTGACACGTTGGAGGTCCGCGCAGATTTCTTGGACCCGCGCTGGACACCCCGCCCTGGTGCGGGGAGCGCGCCAGAAGCGGCGCCCGAGGCGCCGTCAGGGGGGTCCAGGCGCCGGCCCATGAGATCCGCGCGGAGCTTCAGCAGTTTCTGTTCATGCCGTTCTTGCTATTCGGGTTGGGCGTGGCTTAATGGGGGGGTCACAAATGAGGGGGTCAGAAAAGGTCCCCTTTCGTGCCCCTTTCGGGCCCCTCCAGAGCCCCAGGGGGCTCGTTTAGGTACCGTTTGGGTACCTTTTCGGGCCACCCTCGCCACCCCCCCATTTATGACCCCCCCATTACGAAACGCCCAATCGGGGAGAGGGGAAGATGGGTCGGATACAGTCGAGGCGTTGACCTAAGGAACCCTAAGTAAGGAACGAGGCCCCTTTTTCCCATAAGTTCAACCTCGATTTCCCATGGAAAACCTCAGGAAAACCCGAGGCAAACTTTGAAACAATCAAGGAACACCGAGCCCCTCCCCAGCGAAAAGGGTTCCTTCTTCAGGGCCCCGACTGTACACGCAAGAGTGACCCTGGGCAAGAGTGGCCTGCAGTGCGCGGCCAAGGGGGGGGCCCTCTGGGGGCACCACCAGGCGCGCAAGCCGCTGCTGTCGCGTCGCTCTCAACGATCGGGGAGCCCCATTGTCCCCGCACCAAAAAGGCCACTCCGGCAAAAGGCGACTCTTGCTGAGTATCGTCTAACCGATCCCCATCCCCAGCGGCGTGGCCTGGGCGCCACTGGCCGATTAAACCCCCTTAGATGGGGATATAGGCCGTTCTCCTCGGGTTTCGAGGGGTGTATCCCCAACTGGGGGGGGAATTTGGTGGGGGTCTCGAAGGGGATGGGATGGGGATGGGCATTGGTTGCACGATACCGACTTACGTCTAGCCGACATGTGGGGAGGAAGGGCGACAGGAGCTTGCAAGAGACGGCACCGTTCCTCGCTGCCGGCCCAAGGAGCGCTGCGCTCCCGCCCTTTACAGCATCGAGCCGCCGCACCCCTGCACGTGGGGCCGCTTCCACGGTGTCTGCCCGCGCTGTCTGGGCAGCCTCTGCGGCCGCGCAGCACCGTGCCCCCAGACCCCCGACGTCGTAATCTTGTCGCAGCGTCGACCCCCGCGGTCTCGACCTGCTCCCCAGGACCGGTTTTTCATCCCGAGCCGTTTGGTTGACGGTCCCGAGGCTCCCGCCCCGTCGCCCCGGGCCAGGCCAGCAGGGCTCACCGCGGTCGGCACCGCAGGACAGCAGGTCAGCGGCGCTCCTCTCGCGCGAACGCTCGGAAGGCTCGGTATGCCTGCCGCGCTGCCGTGTTTATGCCGTGTTGCAGCTCTGCTCCTGCGCGCTGCCCCAGCACCTTGCCGCCGCTCGGACGCCCGTTCCACCGACAGGCTTCGATGTCGTGCGTTGTTTTGCTTGTTTACAAGATGGTGTACAAGGTCCGCCTCGCTGTCCCTGGCCGGGATCAACCACACGTCCGAGCGATGCCAAGAGCACTGACACACTGGCAGTTCGCGACTTAGCGGCTCGGCCACGCCATCTTTCTTTTGCCACCCCAGGGAACCCAGACTCGGCGCGCCGCGAGTTGCCGCGGGGTTTACTCTGTGTCCCTCAATAGTTCTGGGGGTACTTGTAGTCTGGGGAGGGTACTGTAGTCGGGGGGAGAGGTACCTGTAGTCTGGCGGTGGGTACCAGTAGTCTGGGGTTTTTTACCTGTGGGGGGTACCTGTAGTCCTGTGGGGGTGCCTGTAGTCTGGGGGGGTGGTATCTGTAGTCCGGGGGGGGGGGACCTGTAGTCTGGGGGGGCGTACCTGTAGTCCGGAGGAGGGGTACCATGTAGTTCGGGGAGGGGGTACCTGTAGTCCGGGGGGTCCCTGTAGTCCGGGGACCCAGAACTATTGAGGGACGCAAAGTACCGTGGCCCCAAGCCCCAAGTGGCCCCAGATGGTCCACAGCAGGTCGGTCAGGCGACCCTCGAGCCGATCGACCGAACGACCGACCAGTCGACCGACCAATCGCCTCTCAGGAGGCCCAAGGAGCCTCTCAGGAGCCCTGCGAAGCCTCACAGCAGGACCCAAGAACACTCTCGGGAAGCCCAAGAGGCCTGTCAAGGAGCCCGAAAAGCCTCTTTGAACGCCCGTTTTGGAAGGTGCGCGAGGCCCCCCAAGTAAACCCAAGAGGGCCCTCGGAAAAGGCCAAGAGGCTTGCCAGGGGGCCTGGGATACAGGACAGGGAGCCCAAGAAGCTCCTCAGGAGTCAGGGGGACGTAAGACCTGGGTACAGGGGACTCGGAAATCCCCGACGAGGTCGTCAAAAAAATGACGAGGCCGAGCCTGCATTTTGACGAGGCCTCCCGCTGCAGACATCCCACGAAACTCCTCCTCGTCAAAATCCGAGGCGCAGTCGTCAAAAAACGATGGCGAACCCGAGTCCTGGCAAACCCAGGTCTTACGCTCCCCCGAAGGAGGCCCAGGAGGCCCCTCAGGAAGCTCTCAGGAAGCCTAGAGGCCTCTCGAAAAGCTCGCGGTCCTGCCGAGGAAGCCCAACCAGGCCTCGCGGGAAGCCCATGTGGAGCCTCTCATGACGTTGAAGAAACCTCTGAGAATGCCCTGCAGAGATCCCGGGGGGGGCCCTCGGGTGACCCACCACGATCTGTCAACATATGAACCAGACGCGTACATTCTATTGTTTGGTAGGGGCTCCTACGTAAGGTCCTGCAGAAATGGGCTCCCAACCCGTTAAAGGTTGGAAATAGAAATATGGATGGTCGCAAGGAACGACTTTCTCACCTGGTCCGAGCGGCCTCTCGGGGGTCTCTCCGGAAGCATCTCTCGATGTCCGAGAGACCTCTGGACACCAGCGAAGTCTCTCCCAAGAAGCCCAGGGGCCCCGTCGGCCGGCAGAACGAACGACGCCCAAGCGGCACTTCGGGATGCCCGATGTCCGCACGGCCTCTCTGGAGGCCCACGGGGCCTCTCGGACGGCCCAAGACGCCCATCGAGAAGGGGCAAACGGCGCCCCTGCAGACCCCCGCCGGCATGACTTTGCCACAACGTCGACCCCCGAGGCCTCGACCGATGCCCCAGGACCCGGTTCTTCCTCCCGAGTTGGCTTGTTGACGGCCCCGAGGCCCGGTACTGCTCGAGGGGGCCTGGGTCTCGGGAGGCCCCGGGAGTCCTCTCGTGAAGCCCAGGGACCTGCTTTAGCATTCCGTCGGGCATGTCCTCCCACAGGCGGCGTTAGGACGAAAACTGACAAAGAGTCATATATATATATACACACAAATACATACAACAGTGAACAAATGTCCCCGTACCATGTTTTGCATTTTTTCCCTACCTAGGCTCTGCCTAGAAGGGTTCTTACTCTCTAGCTTAAAGGGGCCGGGCAGTGGAAACCGCCCCGGGCGGTTCCCCCAGTCCCCTGGGAGCGGTTCCCCCCAGTCCGCTGGGAGCTTTAGCTTTAGCTTTAGCTTTAGCTTAGCTTTAGCTTAGCTTAAGCTTAGCTGTAGCTTAGCTTTAGCTTAGCGTTTCGCTTAGCTTTTCGCTTAGCGTTTCGCTTAGCTTTTCGCTTAGCGATTAGCTTAGCTTTAGCTTAGCTTGAGCTTAGCTGTAGCTTAGCGTTTCGCTTAGCTTTAGCTTAGCGTTTAGCTTAGCTTGAGCTTAGCTTGAGCTTAGCTTGAGCTTAGCTGTAGCTTAGCTTTAGCTTAGCTTTAGCTTAGCTGTAGCTTAGCTTTAGCTGTAGCTTAGCTTTAGCTTAGCTTTAGCTTTAGCTTAGCTTTAGCTTAGCTGTGGCTTAGCTTTAGCTTAGCTTTAGCTTAGCTTTAGCTTGGCGTTACTGTCACCACTGATGCTGCTTTCCTAGGGGTTCCAGCTCCTAGGTAGGGTCGCACTGGGATAATTTTACATTCCCTCCTGTGAGAGACACGCCCGACTCAACTCCAGCAGCCCGAGGGCGCCTCCAGGGCCTCCCGCGGGAGGCCCCCTGGAGGAGGCCCCCGCGCGGAGAGCCCGCGCGCCCCTCGCAGGGGGACGCCTCAAGAGGCGGCCCCTCGGCAGGCACCAGGACGCTCCTCGGGGGGCCCGTGGGGGCGTGGGGGGGGGGAAGGGGGGGGGCTCCTCGAGGGGCCACGGTGGTTGGACAGAAAAGTGTCCACACCCATCGCGCCAGGATGGCACGACGTCGAGCTCAGATATCCGTGGGCCCCCGTCACTTCCAATTTCGGGTTTGGGGGTGAGGGGGGGGGGCGAGCCACATGTGTATTGCAAGCTTGTCGCTGCCATCATGCCTGATTGTCTTCACGCCGTCGGCGTGGACACTTCTTGTCCAGGCACCGCAGCGGCGCCTCTCTTGGGAGGCCTCGAGGAGCCCCTCGGATGGTCCAAGAACTCGCTCCAGAGGCCTCTGCGGGGCCTCCGAGCCGTAGAGCCCTCGCCGACGGTCCCAAAGGAGTCGATTCTCGGAGGGGGCCCCGGGCCCTGGGCCCCCAAAGACCCCTCGGGGGGCGGGGTGGGGGGACTGATACCTCTTGGGGGGGGGGAGCGTACCCCCTCGGTGGGCCCGAAAGCTTCTCGGCGGGCCCAAGAGGCCTCACGGGAAGCAGTATAGCTTCTCAGGGGCCTGCCGAAGCCTCTCAGGAAACCCAGGGAACCTCGCAGGATTCGGGCGACGAGGAACCCATCCCCGAATCCTAACCCCGACACTGGACGGCACAACCGGCGGCAGTAGAGGCAACCCGACATCCTTCCCCCCACCTTTTGCAGAGGTTGCCCAGCAGCGAGGGCAGCGAGGGAGTGGTCGAGAGAAGGAAAGAAGAGCATGGGGTGTGAGGGAGAGAGAGAGAGAGAGAAAGAGAGAGAGAGAGAGAGAGAGAAAAAAAGAGAGAGAGAGAGAGAGAAGAGAGAGAGAGAGAGAGATGCAGTGAGGCAGTGAGGCAGTGAGGCAGGGAGGCAGAGCGACAGAGAGACAGGGAGACAGAGAGACATGGAGACACAGAGAGACAGACAAGACAGACCGACAGACAGACCGACAGACAGACCGACAGACAGACCGACAGACACAGAGGCACAGAGAGAGAGAGAGAGAGCGAAGCAGAGCGTGGCACTGCTGCGGGCCGGGCCTGCCGGGGCGCCGCGCGGCAGGCCGCGCGCGTGCGCCGATAGAGAGCCCCGTGCTCTGCCAGCGGGCCGGCCGGCCCCGCTCGCGGCCACGCGGGCGGCAGCTTCGGCAGCCCGCCCCCCGCAGCGCACCGCCCACGGGGCGGCCCCCGGGCGGCGACGGGGCGCGACTTCGCCACCCACCCCGATCGCACGGGGGGCGCCCACGGGCGGCCGGGCTGCACGGGCGGCAGCGTGGCGCAAGCCCGTCCGCGCCCCCCCCCCGCCCTACCAGCGCTCGGTGCGCCCACGAGAGGCCCCGAGGCGGCCACGTGGCGAAGAACGGGAACGTCAGACTCATTACGTACTCGAGCAAGCGGAGCAGGAACCCCTTCTCGATTAGTGCGGGCGCTGCCTGGGGGAAGAAGACTACGTGCCAGCACTGGATGGGGAACACATCGATGTGTCAACATGTAGTGTAGCAGATATATAGATATACATGTGTAAACATGTATGTACGTGTACATAGGTGCGCACGCACATCGTAGAAGCACGCGCTCGTACCCCCCTAGGAGCTCTTCTTACGGTGCCAAAGACAAATTCGCATGGCCTCCCTCCGCCCACTTCGGCACACCCTTCACACAAACCGAGCCGCACAAGGAGCTTATTCCACGTGCGGCCCCAGTAGGCGCATTCGCATCGCGTCCCCTCGCTATTCCGACTCACTCCTCTCACGGATCGTACCCCACAAGGAGCTCCATCGAAGACTTGCATCCCGCCGCTCCTTCCATGTCGGCATACTCCTGCCATGGATCATGTCCCACAGGAAGTTCTACGTACGGCCGCAGAACAGGCTCGCAGGCGTCCCCCACGCCCATTTCGGTACACGTCGGTACACCACTCGCGCGGATCGCGCGGATCGCGCCCCACAGAGACCTCCACCGACGGCCCCAGAGCGAGGGTTCGCATGGCGCCTGCGTCCATCCTTCGGCACTCCCCTAACGCAGACTGTGCCCCGCAGGGCGCTCCGCCCATGGCACCAATGGGCAACTTCGCGTGGCTCCCCGAGGCCCATTGCTGCGTACGCCTCACGCGGATGGCGATCCACGGGGAGCTCCGCCCACGGCCGCAGTGGGCCTGCCCGCGCGGAGGCCACCCTGCTCGCGCGCCCCCAGAAAGGGGTGCAACGTGCCGCGTTGCGCGCTGGCTCCGCGGCAGCCTCCTCTCCGCACCGCCCCGCGGCGCGCAGCACACGAAGGGAGCCTCGCGCCCTGAGCGACAGGCAGCTGCATACCGTCGGGCGGCCCTTCGCTAGGGCATGCAAGCATGCATACATCGATGCATACATACACAAGCATTCGCACGTGGAGGCGAAAAGGTATGCGGTACTGCAAGGCGAATGGGGAAAGGTATGCAAGTCAGGCTATGCTGCGAAAGCTATGTCGTGCAAGCTATGTCGTGTGAGCGATGGAGGTTCAAGCCATGCGATGTGAGCTGTGTGGTACACGCCATGCTGTATGAGCTGCAGGTGAACGCTATGTGATGCAAGCTATGTCGTGTAATCCATGCGGAGTGAGATGCGTGGTGCAACTGCGTGGCGTGAGCAACACCGTGTAAGCCCACGAAGCGCCAATGCGGCGGCACGGGCGGCAACGTGGCGAACACCTGGCATCCCGCCTCACGCACAGGGCGACCACGAGGCGGCACGGGCATGGGCGGCAGCGTGGCGAACACACGACACACACCCCAAGCGCGTCGAGGCGCCCACGAAGCGGCACGGGCGGCAATGTGGCGAACACCGGACACACACACACACACACACACACACGCGCGCACACACACACACGCACACACACGAACACACACACACACACACCACACACACCACACACACGCACGCACGCACGCACACACGCACGCACACACGCACACACACACACGCACGCACCCACACACACACACACACGCACACGCACACGCACACACGAACACATGTAGGGACATGTAGGGAACCTCGGGCAGGTGGAGGACGAGCGGAAGACGGCGGCAAACACTCGAGAGAGGCCAGCGTGCCTCATGAATCCGCCCAGAGATGGCCCCCGGGACCAGCGCCCAGGACCAGCATGCCACCCCCGACCGCGCGCTCCGTCGCTTCGTGGCGACGGCACCTCTCTGATCGGTGATCCTCGGGAAGGGTGTTAGGGGTCAACGTGTGCTTGTCCAACGGAGCCCTTCCAACGGGTCCGACGAAGCAATAGGATCTGGGCCGACAAAGGCAGCGCACTATCGGTGGAGCTGACCAGAAGCGCACATTGGGCTAATACACACGTCCTGAGTATCATCGATCTGAGAAGGCGGCCTGCGCTAGGAGGAGCTGCCGCTAAGGTCGGCCTCGAGGGGCTGTGGAATGCCGCCGGAAGACACTGCCGCTCCGAATATGCCACTCCGCTCTTCCACGAGAAGCCTGAGCCGCTCTTCGCGCGGCGTCCCCCCGCAGGCCGCCGCGGGGAGGACGTTGACGGTGACGAGGGCGGGAGGAGAATGACCGACGGCGCATAGCCCTACCCATCAGCCGAGGTCTTCAGACACACCGCCCGCTCACGCCTCCGCGCTGCCTCTGCTCCAGCAGGATGCCGGTGCCGTGTGCGCCATGGGCTTCTGTGCGGCTGGGCATCGAGACTGCGACCGGAAGTTTCACGCCCGAAGAAGACTTGTGTCTCGGGGGACGGCCAACTAACTGAGACAACACAACGGCACTTCTCACGCCTTGCGTTTATCACGCCAGGATGGGACCCCTCCCGGCTCCATCCTGACTATTTTTTCGAGGCGGGTCAAGCCGTGGCGACGAGAAGCCTCTAGCATGCCTAAGAAGGACGAAGAACGCCAGGGAGGACTGCTGTTGCCTCGACTGGCCATCCTCTGATTCGCAGTCTCGTTTGCCCACAGCTCAAGGTTCTGAATCCTGAGTTCGGCTGCTTCTGTCATCGTTCTCCCCCTGTGCGGGAACGCGGGCACGCCTGCCCCAGGCACCGACGCATCTCATGGTGCCGCCGGATATACCCCGTACAACCTTCGCGAGGCAAGAGAATTGAGTTTCTTGAAGGACGGCGTCTACAGTCTAGCGCGCTTCCGACGATCTCCACCAAACGGCGTGCCACCTCGTCAGCACCAGCTTCAGCGGCGTGGATGCGCAGGGCGAGCTTCGACATCCAGGTAACTACTAAGATGCTCGGGGGTGGACCAGCGGGTACTTTTTTTGGTCGCGGCCGCAGGCGAAGAGCGCAGGCGGCGAACAGGGTGTCCGGGCCGATGGGGACCAGCGGGTACGCGCAGGGTTGAGAGTTTTCTCAAGGGCACACTGCATGGAACATGATCATGTGTGTTGGAGCTCGCTCGCTCGGCGCAACCGTCCTCCTCCTGTCTCTCATTCCCATCGCTTGGCCTCGACCATCTTGGCAAACGCTTTGGCGCCGCTGTCCTGGATGAAGTTCAATCCAGCGGACAGCTCCTGCATAGGAGCGCGGCACTCCCACCTTGTGACATGTGTTCGTTGTCTCTTTCTTTCTCTATCTCTCTCTCTCTCTCTTTCTCCCTCTTTTTTTCCTCTCTCTCTCTCTCTCCCTTGCCCACACACACAATCTCTCTCTCTCTCTCTTGCCCACTCCGACAGGCCCGCGATACAGGGAAAGGGAGGAAGCGTCCTCTGACGCAGAATGCAGCAGGACAGGACGAGACGGGAGCTGCGGAAAAGCCAGGGAACCAACAGGGGAAGGACGCGTGACCGGGAAAGCGGAACAGGCGCGCCCGTCATCCACCCCCCTCGTTCAGGGCGTCACGACTGCTGCTGTCCCTCGACTCGCCCTGGAGCTTTCGCGATTTGCTCCAGATTTACCTTGATATTGCTGGATCTCCCTAGATCTATCTGGATGTGCTCAGACGTCTTGGAATTATTCGATTCGGCTAAGTGTACATCTGGCTTGATCCCTGCAAATCGATTGGAGAAGAATCATCAAGCCATTCAGGACCCCCTCCACTGCCCCGGCTAGGGGATAAGAGAGGCACCCGCCACGGAGTCTATCATCGAGCTGCGCACTCGGGGATGGCACGGAGGTGGCACGAGTCAGACCATCGGAGTTTCGGAGATGGGGCATCAAGTTTCCAATGGCACTGGCACGGAGATGGCTGGTCGGGGCCTCCTCGTCCTCCTCCTTCTCCTCCTCCACTCCCTGCTCCTGTTCTTTTTCTTTTTCTTCTTATTCTTCCTCCTCCTCCCCCTCCGCCTCCTCCTCCTCCTACTCCTCCTCATCCTCCTCCTCATCCACTCCCTGCTCCTGCTCTTCGTCTTCTTTTTCTTCTTCTTCCTCCTCCTTCCTCCTCCTCCTCCTCCACCCCCTGCTCCTGCTCCTGCTCCTGCTCCTGCTTCTGCTCCTGCTCCTCCTGCTGCTCCTCCTCCTCCTCCTCCACCTCTGCTCCTCTGCTCCTCCTCCTCCTCCGCCTCCCCCCGTGCAGACTCGTAGACCTTCCCCTCAGGACTGCTCAAGACCCCGACGACAAGGCAAGCTCAACGACATCTCGTAAACTCCAAGGCCAAGGTCAGGGTGCTCTTGTTGTTGCCCGCCGGGGAGGTCAGGGCGGATGGCAGCCCCGCCGGGGCCGCCCCGGGGCCGCGTGGCCCCGAGAGTCTCGATCTCTCCGCAAGGCGGTCGACGACCCTGGGCCCGTGCGGGTCGGCCTCTGCGGCGGGACACCGCGCGCCTCGCCGCGCCGCGCCAGGGCCAGGGCCCAGGAGAGGGCCTCTTAGACTTACGTCGGGCCTGCCCCCCTGCAGGCCGATTTCGGGCGAAAAATTAAAAATACCCAAACAATACACCAAAAATGCTCAAACATGATATAGAAATAGTCCCCAGACTATTTCTGACTATTTGAACGTTCCCCCTGTAGGGGGACAAGCCCGACTTGACCTCAGACCACTTCCACGGGATCCGTTTTCCGACGACCCAGGGACCGGGAAAGGGCCCCCCAGGAGATCGGGCGCCGCGGCCCAAGAAGCCCCCACGACTGGCCCAGCATAGCCGCCCATCGTGGTCCTGATCCCGAAGAGTGGTCCTGACGAGGCCACCAAGACTGCCCCAAGATGGGCCCGAAAAGCACGCCACCGTCGCACTGCGAGAAGGCAACCCCTCGGAGATGACCCCAAGAACGTAGGTTCATCCCTGGCCTGGCCCCGCCCGACGTGGGAGCTTAGCCCACGCATGGAGATGGCCTCCCCTGATCTCCTGCTTCTGCCTTCTTGTCCGCACGAGGCGTTCTCTCGCCCGGACTCGGGCCCCCCTGGGCCCTCGCAGGTAGGTCTGGCCCGCAGGAGGGTGGGGCCGGGGGCTCTGGCTCAGGTCGGGGACTTCACGCGTGGCGCCGCAGCTTCCTCCTCGCGACGTCGGATCTCGGAGCTCAGGGCTCACGGGAGGAGGAGGTGGGGGGGGGGGGGGGGGCGGGGCCCAGGCCCTCCGAAGCGCCTTCGTCGAGCGGCAGACAACATCCGCGGCCGCGCCACCGGGGTCTGGACTCCCGGGGGGGGGCGATCCCGCGAATGCGCGGTCGCACGGTCAAATAGGGAGCCCACAAAGGACGTACGCGCCCACCCACGTACATGAACACACGGCCCCGCACTCCGCGAGATGAGCCGCGAGGTACGAAAATTCACGCAACGCGTGCTCTCGAAACCAGCGTGACTTCGTGCGCATGTACGTCCTTCTTTCGCTCCTGAGGTTCCGCTCCGCCTGAGGCCGCCCGGGGCACCCGCGGAATAACGCCGCCCCGCATCCGCGAGGTCGCGGCCTGGAGGCCTGGCCCGCGAAGCCGCGGATACGGATACCATGGTCCTCGTCCACGAGAGGACGGGGAGCAGCCCGGGCCCCTCGGAGGCGTGCTCTCTCCGCAGCGTGGACCCCGAAGGCCTCGACCAACGAGAACGACCATCACAACGACAACGATGCTACCGACAGCGAAGGCAACAACGGCAACACCGATCACAACGATAACAACGGCTGTGACCGTTGACGTCGCTGCTATCGTCCCTGTCGTTGTCCTTCCCTGTGGGGGCCAGCTTTTCATCCTCCAGCCGCTTGCTTAGAGGCCTCCTAGATGGGGTCGGAGTAGATGGGGTCGGAGGATCGCGCCGCATCGCCGATGCATCGGCGATGCATCGGCGATGCATCGGCGATGCATCGGCGATGCATTGGCGATGCACCGGCGATGCATCATCGGCGTGGGCGATGCATCGGTGACGCCGACGCGAAGCAAATCGGGCTGCACATCGAGCCACATCGGAGATGCATCGGCGATGCG